TCTCTCTCTCTCTCTCTCTCTCTCTCTCTCTCTCTCTCTCTCTCTCTCTCTCTCTCTCTCTCTCTCTCTCTCTCTCTCTCTCTCCGTTGTTATTTTGCTCTCTAGGAATCTAGTGATGTGACTTCGGGTGAGACGGGTCGAGGTCTGTCGTGATTTGACTTCTGGAGAGACGGGTCGGAGCCAATGTGCGTGCAGACATCTACTATTTACTTTCAGGTCCGCACGCAGACATCTATGCTAATATTTACTTGCAGACATCTAATATTTACTTGCAGACATCTACTATTTTCGTTCAGACATCTACTTTTTACTTTACAGGTCCGCCGCAACTTCGTTTCCAGGCTCTCTCTCCTCTTCCTCCCTCGTTCGTTTGAAGAAAGACCCTTGATTTCGCCTGGTCACCTGACCACCTGTGAAACAAACTTTTCCACTAGGGTAGCGTCAACGAATCATTTTTGTCGATCTCAACTGAAGCGAAAGATGGCTAAATTAACCACACACGGGCAAATACACCTTAACTTTGAAATTCTCCAGTCCTGTTTTACGCTTCACAAAGCTCAAACGAAATATATTTATGTATATCCACCGCATTGAAGTATCACTCTGATGATTTCAATTCCAGCCAGTCGTATTCAAGAAGTAAAAGTGTTTCGTTGTTTCATGTCGTCTGAATTAACCTCACGGCACATTGTTCGCTATATAAAGCGATGTTTTATCTACTAGTTTACTTTGCAAAATATAATTCTTGACTATGCCAAGCATCTGTCTAAATATAAACTTACATAAACCTGATGCAGTTTAAATATAAGCACGGGCTTATGTCAACAAAACTGTAGATCATTTTGCACTGCTGTAAATCAAATGCAAGTCAAAATACTCGGCCAATCGGCCGTGTGACAGAAATACTTTTCAACATAAAATATACCGCACAAAAAAGGAAATAAATTGCCTCCGAATTCAAAGATTCAAGAGACTGATCCACTGGTTTCACTTCCATTCGGTACATGACGTTTTACATGTGCTAACCGTTGAAAAGTTTGTGCTCCATTTGGCTGCCGAATTTCTTTGTGAACGAAAGTCTTCTATATTTTGGAGACGGCAGAAATAATATGGCATTCTTCATCGGCAAAATTCAAATCCGAATCCCAATAAAGCTGGTAGTTTTTAGCGACTGCTCGAGGTTTTGAAACCTACAAAGTTTGTCACAGCAACAATCAACCCCTCCTGCCCAACAGATTTTTTTACCACCCAGATTCTGGGTGGTCACGTGACCAGCCGCAAACAGCAACGAGGGAGGCAGAGGAGAGAGAGCCTGGGAACGAGGTCGGTCCGCACGCAGGTTCAGGGTCGACGCTTGGCTATAAAGAAACTATTAGATTGTGTCGTCGGGCAACTAAAACAATGAGGTGTTTATCAACTTGAAGTTTCGCCGGAGCGAGTTTTTGTGGCCCGAAGCTGGAAATCGAGTAAAATAAATTCTGAAAATTTCCGTCTGTGACCTGAAACAATTCACTGGTGGCAACTGACTTCTGCCGTGAGCAGGATGAAATGATACTTACAGTTTTTTATATGGCGTTGCGTGTCAATTGAACACAACTGAACAACTAAAAATTCAATATTGTTTGTAAGACTGTATGCGTTTTTATTCAGCAATCTCACCAGGCATTTTGACTTGTTATAGTTGGATTGCCATAATACATTGCTTGCTTGAATGATCAGTTTAATCGCGTTCTTAATTGCTTATCGTATTATTTATTATTTACTCTTTTACTTTTTTAACTTCATTGCGTGATTGATTGGCAGCAATATTTTGTGGAGACAAGCCTTTGCTTTCATTCGTACCAGCTACAATGGCCACAACGTTTATGGTCATAGTCATGTTGAAAAATTCTTATGTTAACTTGATGAGTACTGAAAAGCCAGCATGGGGAGTGCTAATAAATTTTGTATTTTATTGTATTGTATTGTATTGTATTGTATTGTATTGTATTGTATTGTATTGTATTGTATTTGTATTGTATTGTATCACGAGCCATAATTGATTATGGCTCCTGATTGTATGAGTTACTGACCCAGTTACCGTCAAAAAATAAGGCGACGTCGTGTTCAGTGATTTATGCAAGTAGTTAACAATTCACATTCACGGATTGAGGTCAGCAATGGCGTATTGCAGGGTGATATTAACGTCAACATCGCCAAAACTGGTGCAGTACCTTCACGCGGTACCCCCTGGTAAACTGGCAACCATGTGGTGCCAAACTACACTGGATGGGACCCAGAGCTATGGTGTGCAGGTCATCCTGGACATGCCCCGGCGCCCAGTATCGGCTTCTCCTAGTCGTGGAGACATGGCCAGGGAGGAACCCTGACAAAAAACTGTATGGGGCTGCAGGCTGCGGGCGGATGGTGCGGGTGGATGGTGGAAATGTGTTCCACAACGGCCAAGACAGAGACGATATTCTAGCATTCAAGCAGCCAAAGCCGGGGAAGCTCTCTACCATCACTTCTAACACCACCAAGTACGGTTGAGGTTGTGCGCTGGGTCAGCAGCTCTAAGATGGAAAAACTTCCTTGCTACAGAAACCATGACTACAGATGCAACTGAATATTTCATGACCTTACGTCCCAGCCGGGACGATGAGGACGAGTGAGTGATTCACAGATTCACAGACTAAGAAAATAACACTTCAGTGCAAATAAAAAATTATTGATATATTGGCCTGCTCTCAGCCAATCACGATGGAGTAATTTTCTCAATCAAAAAGTAAACGGGGTGATTTTATAAAGAAAATAACGACAGGATTTTCTGAAGAGGCTCTCAATATACAATAGGGTTATTAAAAAAAACTGTTAGCCGTAAAACGGGTCAAATGGACACTTGCGCCATGCATGTTTATTGGATTTGTCGGTTTTCGAAAACGTAAAATACAAAGCTTTAGACATGGAAACAGTCCCTGTGGCAAAATGCCGACCAAGAAAGAACCAATTAGAATGTTCGGATTTACCTCAAGACTACCCTGCCACGTAGATCAAGGATTTGCTTTGGCGCAGGGCTGCTGCGGGCCTGGAAGCTGACACTTTGAGCCTGTTAGCATGTAGTCGAAAAGTATGCGCGCGCAAGAACAAATTTTACGGACCTAGTGACGTTCTCTCTGATCCATGAAAAATCATTTTGGCATTAGGAGGCGACCACTTTCTTTTTGTCATGAAGGTTCCGTCATGGAGAACCTTGCTCTTTCTTCTAGTTGTCATTGTCAACGGTTCGTTGTGTGGGAGCGACAATCTTGCAGCGAATCCAGCGACAAACAGTTCTTCTGGGTGAGTAGCTAGGGTTAGTTATAACCTCAGGAAAATACCAGTTCCCAGTTGTGTTTACACGGGTCAGTTATTCCTTTTAAGCATTTAAATTGTAGGAGCATTTGTCAACAATTAACTGTTTATATCGATTTTAAGCACGAGAAATACAACGGAGCCAGCAATGGTAAATGGTACAACTCCTTCGCCAGTTACGACACAGCTTCCGACAACTACAGTCGCACCAGCAGAGGAAGTTCCCGAGCCACCAGAAGTGGAACAACACAGCTCGATGACGATATTTTTTATTCTTCTTGTCGTAGGTATGATATTAAACGTTTTTAAGACTTCTTTGAGTTATTTGTGACTTAATTTGTACATGAAAATATATAAGTTTACACTCAAGTCACTGGATGATTTTGCAAGAATCCAATTTAAATACTGTTAATCGAGGTGCCTAATATTCAAAGGTGTTTTAATTCACCGACGTGTGGATGTTTATTTAGCAAATATTGAATGCTTCCCTGCTCGAAAGTTCCTAGCAATGAATTGCAATGTTAATTTGATAATAAGAATAAAACGAGGACGAAGAGGAAGAATCCGGAAATCGAATATATACGTTTTGCAAAATATTCTATGTAAGGAATAATCCTTTGTTTACAAGTAGAACCATATTTTATCTTTTGTGATGTTCAGGCTGGTAACAGGTGACTAAGTCATTCCTCGCATTGGTATGATCACTGGTTACTGATCATACATATCAACCCTCTTATTCTGACTTGTTACCCTATTTGTTCACATAAGAATAATGTGAGCCTAACGTGAGTTACCAAATAGTGGGGTTTTTTTTTTTTTTTGGAGAGATATAGGTCTTAAACATGATTAGGTTACATGTTTCACATGCTCAAAACTCTCCCCCAAACTCTATAATTTGCACAAAGTTTTCCTGTACCTCTTGCACCTCTGTGTTGCTTTTACATGGGTATAATTTTTTTCGTCTTGCTGCATACAGATTTTGTACATTATAAAATTTACAATTTGAATTCTTAAACTGAGGCTGGGTGGTTGAAATGTACTTGTCTGAATTTCGTGAAAACAACCAAGCCTTAAGGTATTCACATTGGTGTGTTATGCTTGTCCAATCCTTCAAAGTAAATGCACAAAAAAATTGCAGTTCTCCCCATGCCCTCATATGCCATCCTTAAGTCTGTTTCTATTTTTTGTATGAAACATCTTTAGTGTCTTGTTTCAAAGATCATAGTTTACATGGGAAAAAAGCATGGCTTTTTAAGTGTGGCAAATCTTTTTCTCTATTGATGACCTGCATTTTGTTTCCTTTACAGCCCTTTGCATCCTACTAATCCATTTCTTGCTGAAGACAAAATTTCACTACCTTCCTGAAAGTGTTGCCGTGGTGTTTTTGGGTAAGTTTCTGTACCTTTGATGAACGTCATTTTGTAACCCAACCAGTAAACATCATGACCATCAATTTAAGATGTGTCATTTTTTAACGACTTCTGTCATAGCATGGCTTGAATATTCAAAATCCTGTGTTATATTTTTTTCGTGTATGAATTAATAAGTAAAATGCAAATTATTACCTAACACTGTGCTTGGATTTCAACCAGACATTATAAAAAATCAACTACAACTCAGTCTTTGAATAGCATTTTTGTACACAACTAAGCATTACATTGATATCTGTGTTTTATAAATGATAACGAACGTGGTATACTAGTTGTGCACCTTCGAAGTAAAAACTCAATCCTTTTGACTTGAAGTGCTGATGCCATTGTGTGCATGCATGCAAATTGTTGTGCAATTAGTTATTAATACATTGGATGAAGAATGGTTGACTGGGTGACCATCTCAGCCTTGCTACTCAGGCTTACACTGTGTTTAAATGCTATATATTGCATTCGGCAGTTGTAGGACCTCATGGCAAGATGTAAGCTAGTTTAACCAAATAGTGAACTCTACTGTATAGGCAAAATGGATTGTGGGTCGTACATTTATTCAAGGAAAGTATTGTTTCTTAAAGCCCTCAATTTATTTCAGGTGCACTGGTTGGTATGGTTATAAAAGCTTTAAGCCATTTTGCTCTTGGAGACTGGCGGGTTTGTATTAATGTTATTCTTGCAACATGTTGTGAGTCACTTACATGTTAAAAGAACAGCTTGAAAAAATGGTAGCAAGAACTTGGTACTGTAGTATTATGTTGTGTTGTCTAATACAGTGTTTTCAAAACAAGCCAGCAACTGCCAAAGTTCCGCCGCCTACTTGAGTATATGTCACCAGCTACTCTGGTTATAGCAATCAGGTTGCAACAAACAAGCTCAGCTTTGTGTCTTACCAATAAATCTTTAAGATGGCAGAGTAACATCACACTCAATTTTGCAGCAATATTTTTTTTTGCAATAGCAAGCTTATTAAAAAGAAAGCTCAAAGCATCGGCTGTATTTTGTGCCCTTCTCATTATAGGATGAGGGGCCTTGCAGCCCCAAACTTGTCATAGCCACTTACTCTTTCATCTGCAGTTGCGTACTTCAAAACATTTTGGAACCCCTGTTAATACACGTAGAAGAGATTAAACATCAACATGTTAAATTCTCAAAGGCTAGATGGCCTTCAGTTCCAGAGATCTTAATTAAGATGTTGTTTAGAGCATTTTGTTCATAATTTAATATGAAGATTATGACATTTTCTACTTTCCTCCACATTGTTACCTTAAAGTTTCAATTTAGTCTACAGTTTTTGGGTAATTACATGTAGTTATTAATTTATTGGGAAATAAATGGGGGCTAACCTTCTTTGAGAGGTTAAGACACCAATCCTTCAGTTGCTTGAGTTATTTTTTTCTTGTTTCTTTCCTTACAGAAAGAGGAACACTTTAATCCTACTGCATTTTTTCTAATTTTGCTGCCACCAATAATTTTTGAATCTGGTTATTCACTTCATAAGGTGAGATTGTAACTTGTTGAAGAATAAATAATTTACCAAGTATAGAAATTACTATTATTAACTATACAGGGTGGACTTACCCAGCAAAATGGTTGAATATACACTGTATACCATTAGAATACCCAAACCCAAACATAAGAATGTCATATGTTCTGTGTTTTATCACCATTACTATGATTTACATCAATACTAAAAAGAGTTCCGTTAAAGCAAGCTTATATAATCAAAATAAGTTTACTAACAACTTTGTTTTACAGGGTAAATACTTACTTATTTGTCAACTTGAATTTGCAAAAAATGAATTGCTGTACATAGTGAGTTTGTGAAGCTGACATTTTGAGCATTATCCCTTGACAAATAGCTTAAGTGTTTGACTTCCCTGCTGACACAGCCAAACAGTTTCCTTAGAAACTGATAACTTTGCTACATATAAATACACCAGTAAGCTTTTGTTTTATTTTCAGGGGTCTGGTATTGGAAGGACTTTAGTTTGCGTCTAAGATTTTGGGGGTATTTTTATTGGAAAGGGGTCTTATCAGAATTGAATAATTTACTGTTTTACAGTATTGCCTGGCGTGTATGTGATAAATTCTCATGAGTGCTTTTCTCTTTCTTTAGGGAAATTTCTTTGCAAATATAGGCTCTATTATAGTTTTTGCCATATTTGGAACAGCTGTGTCTGCAATTGTCATTGGAGGTGGTATCTATTTATTGGGGAAGGTAACTAACAGTTTAAATTCACTACATGTAGATTTTGAAATAAGATATCTAGCAAGTAACAGACAGCATTAAGAAAATATCATCTCACAGTGTTGATATCAAAGCAATTTGAACTTTTTCTACCTTTTTAGGGTGGTGTTGCATTTCAACTTGATTTAAGAGAGAGGTAGGCTTTGTTCATAAGTGCCTCAATATTACTTTACATGTGCCTGTAATGTACAAAGTCACATATTTGTGCTCAGTTAAGGGAGTGATGCCACAATGCATCAAGTCATATTTTCTCAATGTACCAGAGTCCTAAAAATCAAATGAAGCATTCAAACAATGTTGTGTGTGATAACTTAGGGATGTTGCAGTAAGACCAGTGGGTTCTATTCTTCACTTGCCTGATTGGCAAAAGAAGTGTATTGGTGTAAAATGTGAGGAATTTCGTATTATGGAAGTATTGATTGGAGATCAAATCAGATCAGATCAAATTGTTGTTTTAATTTTAGCTTTTAACTCAGTAATTTTGCTTATGGGAAGACTTTTTGGGGCTAGTAAAATTGAATTTCAGGTTGGTACATGTGCATCTTAGTAATAGCTTTCTCCCTGGCAAGTTGGAAAAATGATTTTATTTTTACCCTGAAATGAGTACAGCAATAAAATATCACCACAGAAATAAGTATCTTTAGTTACTGTTACTTTATATGTTTTTGGGACTTAATTTTGGGGAGCATCACATTAGTAATAAGATGCAAAATTAGGGCATGCAAAAAAGTGACTGGGAAAATTAATGACAGCAGAAAATTAACTTCATTTTCCAAAGTTCCATGTTGATGCTCTCTTCCACTGAATCATATAATAATGTTGTGCTTTGTCAAAAACAAACTTATATGATATAGTCATAAACTGAAGATATTCATACAGCATGTGAGTGAATTACTGAATCTCTCTGATTTTTATTTTCAGCTTTGCATTTGGATCACTGATCTCAGCTGTAGATCCTGTAGCAACACTGGCCATCTTCCATGCCTTGGATGTTGATCCAACATTAAACATGTTGGTGTTTGGCGAGAGTATTCTTAATGATGCAGTCTCTATTGTCATGACCAAGTAAGCTTGTGGTAATAGGTCATATATTCATAATCTCATGATTAAACTGAAACAATCGTGCAATGGAGGCTTGCTTGGAATGATCTTTCAAATGCAAATGATGTGAAAACATGTTGTATGATAATTATCCACAGTTATAGTTTTCATTGCAAGGTAGTTGCATTTTAATCCTCAGAATAAGAATATTATCTATTACATAACTTTCATGTTGTGAGAATCATTGTTTATATATTTTAAAGTCGCCATCACCACCACCGTATGGCACTCTAACTTTGTTATCAATGATTTCTCTTTTGCAGTACCATTCTTGAAATGGGGGCTGCAAAATATGCAGAGAGCAGTTCTTTTGAGACCTTCTTTTCAGCTGTGGGGAATTTTCTAGTCATGTTCTGTGGATCAGCAGGCATTGGAATATTGTTTGCGCTGATAAGTGCTTTGATATCCTTCAAAACTAACCTCACCTTAGCAAAGTTGTAGTTGCCTTTGATTGTTTTTATCTTAATTGATTTAAAGTAAAGAACGTCCTGATCATTTAGCGAGGTTATAGTCAGATTATTTCCTTGACGATGTCACCTTTTGAAGCATGTTGATTTACGCAGCACTCCATCTTTAGAACTTGGTACCATGCTGATATTCTCTTATGCACCTTATGGCTTAGCAGAAGGTCTTAAACTATCAGGTAAGCTCAACTGCTTAAGATGACCAGGTGTTGGGAATTTGCCTTCCATGTCTATAGCTACATGTCACAGATGTACTTGCGTTCACTTGCATTTGTCGTTGATAAGGATAGCAGATCTTAATGTATAGGAGCACTTTGCTTAACCTTTCTCTGCCTTGTGGTAGAGATTATCGATAAAGTATTAGTCAGAGAAATGAACAAAAACCTGACTTGTATGGAATAATAGATCTCAACTTTTGTCCATGTACACAAGCAAGCAGGTTGTCTTTCAAGTTACTTGTGATGCAACAGCTGAAAGATCACCATGAAAATCTCTAGAAAAATTTAGTAAATGTCACATTTGCTGCAGTGTGTGACCCTTGTGTGTGTAAGGCATATCTTGGCTTCATCCTTAGCTATAATGGTGCATCGCACTTCAATTTGATTTATTATGAAGCAACAATTTATTCACATGCCTGCAGTGGATTTTCATCAAGCTTTATCTCACTTCACCTTCATGTAATCTTACCTTTTTTTCTTTTTGTTCAACTGCAGGCATTATGGCTATTTTGTTCTGTGGCATTGTCATGTCACACTACACCCATTTTAATTTGTCTCCCATGACACAGATTACAGTGCAACAGATTTTCCGCACAACAGCCTTCATGGCAGGTATATACATGTTATTTCACTTCTTTTCTAAGCCTCAAAAAGTCACTTTGTTCTTGACGACTGCTCAAGGCTCGACAAAAGTGCTGTCCAGTTGTCCAGGACAAGTAGATTTTCATTCTGGGCATTTTGGGCAACTTTTCATTCTCACTTGCCCGATGGGCAAGGGATCAGGTAAGTCATCTGTCAACTATATCATTAAAAGGGCAAACTATGGCTTGCCCGGAGCAAGTAAAATTTGAGAGTTACTCATCCTAAGGGCAAGCTGGAATTCAAGTTTTTTTTTAGCCCTGTAGATGTACAGTTTTTAGGATATTTAACAACAGTCAGTTTCCTCTATGAGATGCACTCGTAAGGAATCATACTAGTTGTATTCACTAAAGCAAATATCCAGTCCAAGATGATGAATACAACAACCAAGATTCCCTGCAGGCACATTGATTCATGCTTTAGTGTGCATCATCAGATTATTATGGACAAGGGAATTTTTGAAAGAGGCGTAAAAGTAGCTCTAGATGCAGCTCAGGGCAACTCTTTGCCACTCATTACCTGTTAGATATGCTGCCTAGTTTTTTTGTTGTGTTTTGGAGAAAGACAGCTGGCAGCGCATTATTTCTTATGAAGCATCATAGGTATATGGTTCCCTATGTTCAATTTTTTTGTGGTGACAAGGGGGGTTAACTAGTAATCAACTGTTCTTACATCCAGGAGAGTGGCTATATTTTTAGTCACTTGATGCTTTGGCTCAGAAACAATTTAGTGTGATAGGTTTTGCTATTACTGACTATTTGTGCTCCTTTTTATTTCAGAGACATGTGTATTTGCTTATCTAGGAATGGCAATTTTTAGCTTCAAACATCAGTTTAGACCAGCATTTGTCATATGGACTATTGTAAGTAACATAGTATGTCTACTTGTTGTTTATAATGCAGTTATTACATTTACTTTGTTCTTTGAATTTTATTTCACTTTTTAAGTAATAGAGAAGACTTAAAATAACTTAGTTTTAGTTCACTGTTAGGAATTCACTGAATTCACAACCAAAATGTTTCCTTTGTAGAAATTGTCATGTTTTGGACTTAGGGAAGTATTTTCCTTTACAGTTATAATAAGGGAGAGTTGGCAGGGCTAAAACTCTGCATTCAAGTCTAATGGCTTTCATAGCATGAAACCACAAGGAGTATTTCTACTCCTCCCTAGATGGCATGCTAGTTTTCCACAGGGGTTACCACAGCATTTCATTTGCTTGTACCAATAATTTTTTACGTAGGTGGAGGGAGGCACTGTCAGATTAAACTGACCTCCCCAAGAGCTTGACACAGCAATTTCTGACCAGGGATCAAACCCATACCATTCGAGTTGCGTAATGCACAGAGATTCCAGACTGACTTTTATTTCACAGTCTATAACTATTTGTACTTGACAACACAAGAGTGGTTCATGTGATTACATAGTCAATTACACTTCTTTGCAGAGAGATGAGATGTTATTAACTATTATTTCTACTTTGCATCATCATCGCATTTTTGCGAAGTCTTGATGACCAGCTCCTTAGAAATACAAACTGAACTTCTTTATGTGTCCTCTTAATCTTTAGATTCTTTGTTTAAGTGGACGAGCAGTGAACATTTTCCCGCTGTCCTCTCTTGTAAATCAGTTTAGAGATGTCAGAATTCCAAGGAAGACACAATTTATCATGTGGTTTAGTGGTATGTTTGAACTGTTTGACGTATAAAACCAAACCTGGAGGTTTGTTCCCTCCATTAACCAGTTGTTAAAGTAAAACAACTCATATTACATCCCGGGGGGGGGGAGGGGCACTACCTATAATGGCCTTCACAGGGGGGGGGGGGCTCCGCCAAAAGGTGTACCTTTTTCAGGCTTCAGGTGTATAAAAGGGTTGGGATTTCACAAGTTGAGGTGTATAAAAGGTTAGGGAAATCTGTCATTTAGTTATTTTAAAGGGCCTTTAATTAATATATTTTGAACAGATGCACCTTATGGTTGTATCATTTCATTTATTAGGCACTACATGAAAATGACAAGAAGGCTTACTTTGATTAATCTCTCACTTTCTCCTGTCTCGGAGACCCATTACTGAATACTTGTGTTATTTTACACCATTATTATTATTATTATTAGATGGAAGTGTTTCCACGAAGTTTACAGATCACAGAAGAACATAAGCAATGTAACTGTACATTATATTCAGTAATTTGTTGTGTTAATATATTTCTAGGTTTGCGTGGTGCTGTGGCGTTTGCTCTTGTTCTTCACCTTCAGTTGGATGATGAAAAGCGCCATGTTCTTATCACATCTACACTCATTATTATTATGTTCACAATTCTCTGTTTAGGAGGATCAACTCTTCCCTTATTAAAGGTGTGCAGAGTTTTAGATGCTGGTAGTGTTTTAACGTTTGTTCGTAGCTAGATCAAGTAGTGTCGGATGTAGTGTTTTTCTTAAATTGTTTGCAGGAATTTCTGACAGTATCTATGCTTTTTACTGGGGTTGTCAATGTCAATAGGACTAATATGGCTGATGTATGCCAGTAGTATGGAAATGGTGCATTGTTGGTGCTGAGCTGATTAAATACGGACTTTTCTATTTTCCTTTTTTTTAAATCTACTTTTGCAGTTTTTAAAGGCCGATCAAGGGTTGGAAAAAGGTTTAACACTCAGTAAAACACAAACAGAGGTGTGTCATCAACAATCTCATTAAACAGTAATGCAGTCAGTACGTTTGTTTCATCGTTTCTACAGTGTTATGAAAGACAAAAAGCAGGCTGTTTTGAATTTGAAATTAAGTAACCTGGTGATGTTGTTGATTGACAGGGTAAAGCAGTAGATGCTGACCAACTAACAGATGATGAGTGGAGAATAAGCAGCAGAAAAGCCCTCAAAGGCTTTACACGGCTCGACGCTAAATATTTTATTCCATTCTTTACTAGAAAGTTCACAAGAAAGGTGCGTGATGTGATTGCAGTGCGGTTTAGTTCTTGCAACAGATTGCTTGTGAACTTACAATGGGTTTGTCCCTGTTCTTTCAGGAGGTCCGCGATGCGCACGAAGAGATGCAGCGGCTAACAAGTCAGTTATACAGCGAGGTACACAGCGACCTGGCCTCTGAGGACGACGAGGCAGAGAGCAGACTGTAAGAACAGAAGAATGAGGAGACGTTTGTCCTTGTAAAGTCTTTGGTCATAGACTTGAGAAAGGCGCGAATTCCAAAGAGTCACCGTCGACTTTTTTGAGGGTTTCCCTTGGAAAAGAACACGTAGTGTCTCAAAAGAGAATTGGAAAATTCTCGTGTGGAGGTGACGCTGGTAAATGGTTGGGCACAACTTGAAGCACAAACCTTAGCCTTACAGCTGACAGCGTTCCTGTTTTATTGCTGTAGTCATTTAGTGAGCCATTTCGAAGTAAACAAACTCAATATTTGGTAGATTTTTCGGCCAGTTTATGGCAGACGTGACTTAGTTTGCCAGGCTGGCTAAGTGGCGTACTAAGCTGTGGCCGGTAAATCTGGTAAAAACCGTTCTCACAGGACAGGATTGTGCTCCGCGCCATGTTAAGATAGCGAACCCACAATACTTTCACAATTGAGCCCAACAAGAGAGAAAAATTGAATAGAATTTTCACAGCCTACATCAAGTTTGTAGGTTTTGCTATCAGTAGAGTTTTAATATATCAGAATCTATCTGTTGGCCAGGGAGTGTATTTTGATCATTTTATAAGCCTGGTTCACACTAGTGCAATAATGACAGATGAAGCAGTATAAAAAACAGATCAAGTTTTTCTCATGTTTTTCCTTGGCGCGGGAACGTGAAGTTGGCTTGACTTTTCTTTTATGTTATGCTTATGTCATTACATTCCTGCTTTGTTGTTACGTTGTGTTGTTCGTACCGGCGGAAAATGCCAGACGTTGCCGCTATTTCGCTAGTGAAAACAAGGCTTTAGAAACATGGTTTTACGTAACTTAAAATAGTCAACATGGCTGTTATTTATCGTGAAGGAAAGTGAAGTTATTTCAGAACTAAATTATCGCTAATGGCTGGTTCATTAGCTGATCCAGTAAAGAAACGGCCTGTCAGTGTAGGGCCGGGTTGTTGGAAAGCCGGTTAACGCTAACCCAGGATTAAAAGTTAACCGAAGTATTAATTTTTCTTGTATAAAAATGTTTTTTACTGGTAACGTTTTGTGTATTTTGAGCTTAGTGAAGCTCAAAACTGAAGGACAAACATGATAAACAGAAAACGTCACCGAAAAGTTACAAAACTAAAATCAAAATTCTTGTTAATACAGGGTTAGCTTAATCGAGTTTTGAATATCCGGGCCCAGAAGAATAAGGATTGAAACTCCTTTCTCTATTATTTCACAAGACAAGCATGTCTAAAGGTCTGGATAGTAGCAGACATATTAAAATTTTGAGAAACAACACAACTTTTGTTAAAAACATGTTTCATTATCATGTTTCCTTTTGTTCTTATAGTCAATTAGCATTTTGCGTACACTATATATTCAACTCTGTACTTTGTAATTTAAACTGAAGATGACAAGATTTTGTTGAAACATGTTTTTAAAAAACGTTGTGTTGTTTCTCAAAATTTTAACAACCATGTCTAAAAAAAAGATAAAAATATTATTTAAGCGCCATTTTAAGGTTGAATTGTACATACAATAGTTACCACTACGTTCTTTTTTCCCTGGCGATGATGTCTTTTCTTGGAAATTTACTTACACTTTCACTCCGCGTTATTGAAAGTTTTAACGCTAAATGAGGTTTGTTATATATGTACATAAAGGTTTGTGATATCCTTTATAAAACTCGTCAATGCACTTGTTTTATATTTATTTGTTAGAACTTTGTAAATTGTAGTGTTATAAAGTTAGCTTAATGTTTCGTTTAGAGTAGCTTGACTAAAGGTCTGCACACAGTTTTCCTGGCATGACCATTTTAGCGAACAAGTTCTGTTGCGGGGAAAAATTTTGCCCCTGCAACATGTTGCATGAAATTCAGCTGGTTTGAATTCATGCTTCTTGAAGCATGGACAAAAATGACTGTAATTTTCAATGTCGCATTGTGTGCTAGAAATAAACCAAGACCCGCTTGCTGTGCAGGTCCCGTGTGCATCAACTTGCGTACTGTGCCTGCAACATGCGTCCTACTGCACAAACGAAGGGGATGGTCCCGCAACACGTCCCCATGTGTTTGGCCGGCAACTAACTTCTCAAACTATAATGGTGTAAATTTTGATGTCTGTCACGCCGATGGTGGGTTTCTGCTTCGAGTCGCCAGGTTTACGTTCGTTTTGATACACATCTAAAATCGATTCGCTGAAAGCCTCCGCAAACAGAGCACGCAAACGAGACCAGGTCAACCTTCATAACTACAAAGTTCATTAATCGACAATAAAGAACTGTTACTAAGTCAACCCTTGTCGGGCCGCAGTTTGGCAGCGCGGTGATCAGTTCCAATGCGGCAACTATGTCCATAACCACCAGGCACAAGTGGAGGAAGTGAATGACGGCACTAATTATCTCCCATGCTAAGGCGAAGGCAGGATAGGATATCTTCCAACCAGGCCATTGTTGACGCGGTAACTATATACAGTTATAACTTAGGTTGATGACGGATTACTCACTTAATGGCACAACAACAACAACTAGCTTTATTTACATGGCCTTAACTACATACGGCACAGTGTTGCAAAACCTTTGTTTGTAAACTAAAACTAAAGCAGTAACGGCTATCAGGAACATCTAGTGTTCACGATAGTCGTTACTGTTTTTAGAGATTGTTTAAAATTTCGAACGATAGTTTCTATTTTTCTATAAAATTCACCTCTTAGAGTAGAGTATTTTAATGCAACACACCTGCAATACGTAAGAGATTGAGATTCGTCTTCAGTTTGATTAGATTCACAAATAGGGCATAGTCTGTTAATCCTTTGTTGTTGATCATATCGACCAGTTGCAATCCATTAAAGTAAACAACAACTTGACCACTATGTTGAAGCTCAAAAAAGTGGAGTTATAACCCAAAATAAGTCCTTGCCTATATAATAATACTACTAATAATACTTAATCCTCTTAATTAATTAAAATATATTAATTGTAAAGGTTCAAGAATTAGGAATTGCCACGCGAAGAGTCTTCTTGCAGGCTAGACTTCGATGTGATTACACTAACGACCAGGGAACGTATGCCATCGTCCGGAAGGTCATGGCCTTACCGTTCCTGCCAGCAGAGGAAATTCCAGGCATGTACGCACGCCTAGAGGGAATTGCAGAGTCACCAAAGATTCAGGACTTCATGCAGTACGTCGGCAGAACCGGGATCACGAGCGGAACATGGCCACCGTCATCGTGGACTGTCTTCATGAAGTCAACGACATAGAGGGCTGGCCTTCGAGCAGGCTCTCATGCGTTGCGTCGCTAGAGATGGGTCAGCGAGCGAAGTGAGCTGGTGAGAATCTCGTGCCAGGCCCCTCACCAGCTCGCATAACTCGCTGACGCATCTCTCGCGAGTTTGCTCCTGCCGCAGCGCATGAGAGGCTGCTCACAGACTACCTTGGGCTAGTCTGCGAACGCAGAAGTATTACCGCAACCAGTTGACAGCCAGAAATACGTCTGCGTTCGTAGGCTAACCTTGGGCTGAATCGCCGCGCATCCCGCAAGTCGCAGCTTTCGCTGTACCTCCTGATCGGTTTGTTCCTCCTTGAGGTTCGTTTGACCATAGTTGACTATGGTTTGACTTCGCTTCAGTCAGGCTCGTTTGTGAAATAGTTACGGCGTATTTAGTGGAAGAAGTTCCGGGACCTCCAGACAAGGGTCTTCGCCTTATCGGATGAGTTTAACTCTGGAGACCGCAGTGCAAGAAAGTTCGTTAAGGCGTGCTCCTACCTTGACGACCCAACAGCTTCCCAAGTCGACATTGACCTCAGTCGACTTCCTGTCATCACGTCAACATTGCATTACGTTTGAGATTGCACGATACAGGCCAAAAACGGGTCTTTAGGAGCCACCACCACATCTTCAAAAGTTATGACCTTTAAAAGCAATGTCTTCACAATGCCTATAAAGTTTTTTGTTATTTGTCCGCGGGAAACTGGATAATAAATTACTTCGATTGCTGTCGGATGTGATGCGAAGATTAAGGTGCTTTCCTTTGGGGTGATCTGGATCAGGATCAGTGATCCAGGGTCACCGGCTCCGGATCATGGTGCATCAAAGGAACTGATGAATCCATGACCAGAGTGGATTCATAGGTTCCTTTGATGCACCATGATCTGAGCCTGATCCAGATCACCCCAAAGGAACAAAGGAACGCACCCTAACACACTTTCATTGAATATGGAATATTTCTTCTAGTTTACTTTTGCTACGAAACAGTGGAAGTTTGTATTGAATTGACTTTAGAATGATGTGTATCGAATCGACTTTATATGTGTATCGATTCGACTTCGATTTGCATTGAAACGACCAGATACCACGGTCGCCATGAAACGCTTTCAAATTAGAGTGACGATCGATAAAGTAAAAGAGAGTCGGCTTAAGTAGTTCACTTTTACCAAACCCCACTAACATTACAAGGAACTAACGTTTTAGGTATAATTAACTAAATAAAGATACAATTCAGGTTTGTTTTTAGTGAGAATCAGTTGGAACTTTGAGGCTCGTAGCGTTCGTCTCTATCTAACTGTACATTGTACTTGTTGTAACATATTGGCACGTGAGAATTAGCACCTATTGTATATTATATTTTGTGTACGCATATTTAAGTAGGATAGCACATTATGTAAATGTAGAAAAGCACACACATCCACGCGGTGTGTATGAACAAGCAGAATAAACCTATTCGACAACACACTACACTTGTATTTGCTGTTGAGTAGATTTTTTTGCCAATTTGATGTTGGATTGATTTAAAGTTAAAAGAAAACAAATCACAGGCAATTTGTGCCGTTTTTCGTAAACGTCAATCTTGAAGTGTCTCTGATTTTGGCTCGGTATGACGGCTATACAAGCTACCAAATACATAGATCCCAAGTTGCCGTGCGTCGGTTCAGAGATCACAGATGACGTCAAAATAAGGTAAAAAAAAAGTGACATGAGGCGGTAGCCGAATGTTTCAGCAATGTTCTGAGCACGGCGTGTCTAAAATACTGGTAGCTAGTAACTGGTAGCAGGTAACTGATAACTGGTGGCTGGTAACTGGTAACTGGTAACTGGTGACTGGTGACTGGTGACTGGTGACTGGTAGCTGGTCACTGGTCACTGGTCACTGGTCACTGGTCACTGGTCACTGGTCACAGGAATTTGGTTAGGTAGGACCAAAACGCATTATTTCCAATCAATTTACAAAAACTTTAATTCCAACAAAAAATAACATAACAATAGAGCCCAACCAACCGTTGACAGTAAGTAATACATGTATCTAAAACGACTTACAATATATTTTCACATTAACCAGACTATGACCCACGGCGTTTGACATTTGGACGTTACTCATCCGACAAGCAGATATCCTCTAAATGAGAACACAGCTGGTAAAAATAACGAACCTGTTTCAATGGCAATGTGTTTATAAAACTTACCTCGTGTCGAAACTCATTTCTTAGAGGGCACAGTCAGCGACAATCGTTCCAATCTTGACGTGCACAGAATCCACACAGAAATACTCAGCGCCGTGCGATCTTATTACAACCCTGGTGAAATATGACCAGCCACTACCCGCCACCCACTACCATTTACCTTTGTATATTAAAATTTGTTGTTGAATGAATAACTTGAAAGAGTGACGAAAGAAGGAATCATGAATGAAAACTTTACTTCACTTCGTATTAAATATAGCAAAATTTACAGTAAAAAAAAAACAAAAAACAAAAAACGCGTGTGTGGACAAATAATCTTTTTTATAAGTGTACTAAGGTACATTTAGTTTACTGCATCGGTAGTAAGGGACTTTTACGGTATCAAATCTATCAGACACCAGTCACCAGTCACCAGTTACCAGTCAACAATTACCGGTGACCAGCGACCAGTGACCAGTGACCATTTACCATTTACCAGTTACCAGTCACCAGCTACCAGCATTTTAGACACGCCGTTCTGAGCACATTTTGAAGTCTTCTGTGATCTATTTCTGAACAGACGAACGGCAACATGGAA